GGGAAGGGAAGGGAAGGGAAGGGAAGGGAAGGGAAGGGAAGGGAAGGAAGGAACGGAAATGAAATGAAACGAAACGAAGCGAAACGAAACGAAAGTAACAACAAGAACCTCAAAACCTCCACTTTTCACCGCTCCCCTAAAAGCGTTGGACCACGGTTCCCACCGGTCCAAGGCCACGGGTGGTGACCCTGGAGGGCGAGGTCATCGCGCCCAACGGGAACATGAGCTGCTTGGGCTTTTGGATTGGAGGATTCGGTTGGAGGAATGAGTGGAGCGAATGGCTAAAACGCTACTAGTAACAAGGGCACTACTACTGGTAGCTAGAAGCTACTGGTAACAAGGAATGAGTGGCTAATGAGTGGAGCTGTTGATGAAACGGAGACTTTGCAAGCCAAAACGTGCTGGGACTCATGCATGGCCAGGGTCTTTGGGTTTCCAAGGGAGCGGAAGGTTGATTTTTGCTCTTTTGGATTGTGGATGTTCGAACGATGCAAAGACCGGAAGTGACTCCAAGCCTCTATTGGACGTGCCATATTGGCATCAAGAACCATTTCCATCTTGATCATTCAGATCTGAACCTGTCTGAGGCTCACAGACCAATTTGTCCTTGCCTACTCAATTGCTTTAGATGTGACATCTCGGTGGCTTGAGACTCCACCAGCGCCCTCCACTCCGCCGTCCTCCAAGGTGTGAAGAGCTTGAGTGGCGGCAGGGTGGAGTTTGGCGGCGCTGAGCAGCTGCACGAGATACGAGAGAAGGCCACTACCCCTGCCATTGCCACTGCGACTACGACGACGACTACTACTGCTACTGCTACTGCTGCTGCTGCTGCTCCTGCTACTGCTACTGCTTCTGCTACTGCTACTCCTACTACTACTACTACTACTCCTACTGCTACTGCTACTACCACTACCACTACCACTACCACTACTACTACTACTACTACTACTACTATATTCTAGTACTAGTTTCTACTACTACTACTACCACTACTACTACTACTACTATTACTACTCCTACTCCTACTCCTACTCCCACTCCTACTGCTACTGCTACTGCTACTGCTGCTGCTGCTGCTGCTCCTACTACTACTACTACTACTACTACTACTACTACTACTACTAAAAACTGTATACTAGTACTACTAGTACTAGTACTAGTATTAGTATACAGTAGTAGTAGTAGCAGCAGTAGCAGTAGTAGCAGTAGCAGTAGCAGTAGCAGTAGTAGGAGTAGTAGTAGTAGTAGTAGTAGGAGTAGCAGTAGCAGTAGCAGTAGCAGTAGTTACTACCACTAGTTACCACTAGTTATTGTTTGACACGAAATGACACGAAAGATGGGATGCCCATACAATCACATCTGACGGTCTGATCTACGCCAGGAGAAGAAGCTGCACCAAGTGCTTCGAGACCTGGCGACTTTGGAGGAGGAATCCGCCCGAAAGCAGCAACAGGCGCATGCCGCGCCATGGCGCGGTCCGTCAGGTCGAGCGCAGCACCGAATAGGTGGGTCCTAGTCGGGTGCCGAGAGTGGAGGGGTTTGGGGTTTTGCAATTCTTTTGTCTCGGCATCCTGAGCCATTGACAATCTTCTAAAAGAAAGTTATTGAACAGTGTGTGGCACACAGACACTGTCTATGAAGGGGTGCCCAGGTCATCCTCTATGAAGGGGTGCCCAGGTCTCAACATGCCAGAACCTACACCAACCCAACCCCAAGATGGACCAAACCAAACGACACTTTTTGGAAGCCTCAGACGTTGGAGTTACGAGACATGCAGATCCCACAGCTGGCAGGTCACAGATCTCAAGGCCGAGGCGGGGTGGAGCAGCCAAGTCCAGCAACACTCTGATTCTTGTTTAGCAGTGTTCGACTGCTCAGCCCTCTGAACGAGATGCGCTGTCCAATATGGCTATCAAGTTTACAATCGTTTGCCTTTTTTCCAACTGGGTATACGTTGGTCTGCGAAACAGATGGGATGATGGACATACTGTCTCATATACCCAACCGATGACTCAGAAGAAGGCAGATGTCAGTGCTGTAAATGCAAATTGAAAGCACATGCAAACACCTCTGGCACCTGATCTCACGTCCCTCTTCGTTCTGGTCTGTCATCCGGAGAAAAGAATGGCAGCAGATTGTCCAACAAGACCAGAACGAAGAGGGAGTTTTGCTTCAACTGTGGCTTTGGCTCTCCCAGCTTCTCATAGCCCTTCGAAGTTCCTTCCGCACCTTGGACGTTCCCAGCATGGCCACTGCTGCCTCTCTGGATCGGGCAGAAAATGGTCAGGCGAGATGGACCGACGGAGTCGAAGGTATTCGAAGGTGCAAAGGAGTCAGCCTGCAGATGATCTTGACTTCCAGGAATCTGGTTGTGTTTCATGATTCATCATGACTCCTGCAGACGAGGGTCTTTGCAATCCTTGCTGTTGTGCGCAGGCCCTTCCTGTGGTTCAGGGCATTCCAGTTCAACCAGGCCCCGGGGTCATCGGCATTCGTCTGGAGCCCCCTGTGACACGGCTGGATGGATCTGACAGGGTTGGAGGGTGTCACGAGCATGAAGGACCTTTTGCAACGGTGTTCTGGGGTGACATGATCCACTCCGTCTCCACTTCCGTCCTGGATGGTGCGAAAATAAGACTACACCAAAAGGGAGGACATATAAGATGAATATCCATGTCCTGAACTCGTACAATGTTGATCAATCTGGGTCAAATGGTCAATGTGCCTTTGTGTTGATGGTGCATGGATGTATTTCAAAGCGAGTTGGTGGTCAATTTGGTTTCTTAAGAAGAGGCCTCCCTGGCCTCCCTATCCGAAGCACCAAACTTGGTGCATCTCCTCTAGTGGTTGCCGAGTCACTTGAACAACAACCATTTTGTGACTCAAAGGGCTCATCAGGATTTAGAGCACTGCAGACTGTATATAAATTTTGTGGCAGATATGAGTTCTCAGGCGCGTGACGCTCACTGCAACTTCGGAAAGCACATGTCATAGAACGGTGAGTAGTATTAGTCAGCTTTGGATGTTTTCTTTCAAATCCATTCAGAGCTTGTACCTCCTTGCGCGAGCTGAGGTTGCTAGCGTCACCCTTCTGGATCCTCACATCCAGGTCAAGCTGTCGAAATCACCTGGCAATCAGTGGATAGCTTACAGTAAATTAGGGAAATGGGCGGTCCATGGTACAGGGAGTCATGGCTTGACCAAAGGGGATCTGCAGAGAAAAGAGATCGACTTGGCTGGGAAGGGGACAGTATGGAACAGTGATGAAAAGTGATTGCCCGCAGCCAAGCTTTGTTCTGTGGAAGACTTGTATATATTCAGTTCATTGGATTTCAGACTTGTCAGGAAATTGAGGTCATGCGAGTGACCCAAATGATCCATTTAACAATCCTCTACTGTTTCCCTTGGTGGCTTTCGGGTTGTGTCCTCATCTTCTCATACGACACCTCTTTTGAAAACCATGGTCAAACATGCTTGAGTCTTGGTAAGATTCATGTGAACAATGAGCCCAGAACCACTTGTTTGTAGAGCGTGTGGAACAACATCATGCTCCAGAGGTCCATTCTTAGCAAACAGGTCAGGTTTTAGGAGGGGCTTTCGTTTTGCAATCTTTTTTTGTAGGCTTGTGCTAGAATGGGAAGCACTCCAATCAATGGGATTTTGTGTTAGAGATGTTTCTATTTTACCAGGGGTCTTTGCGGGGCCTTCCTATTCTAATAATGCACACCTATACAAATGGTTCCCTCCTCACCTGGCGCGGCTACTGCGTGCGCGTGCGGGGGGGTGCCCACGCAGCAGGTGGCTCTAAGCTACCGCACAGCAGTGGCCTGCTTCGCTGTGCTGGACAGCCGCTGAACACAGTAGGTCAAAAGGACAAGGATTCCCTCTTCTCCACCGGCAATTGTCCTTCCAGCAAAATAGGTCAATGCAGGAGTCCTTCGAGGGGTCCACCTATGGGTGAAATCACGCAAGTCGTTGTGAGTGTAGAGAATCAGTTCGGCTGGGCGAGGATGTTCCACACACCTGCGGAGGTCTGGGAAGAGTGGGATAATTCTGGTGAGTCATGGGTTTGGGCCGAAAGTGGAGGATAGTGAGCCATGCTCGCCAGATCCGCAGCGCTCTTTTCACTGTTCTGTGCAAGTTAGCACACCCAATACCCTACTAGTAAATTCAATGGTTGCCAGCGGCCTACAACCACACGATCCACAACCCCAGTCTTCACTTTCCCTACCCATCATGGCCACAGCTGCCCCGCCAATTGTGTGTCACCACCGGCACATCCGCAGACCGCCGCCACAGCGCCGTGCCGTGCCGGCGAGGATGTCGCCTTTACGGTCTTGAACGTGATGGCCGCCTACGCCACGGGGCTCAAGTGGAACTGGCGCCCTGGCCTTACTAGTAGTAACAAGTGCCACGCTAGTAGTAACAAGTGCCTTACTAGTAATAACAAGAAGCTATTAGAAACAAGTGCCTTACTACTAGGAGCAAGGACGCTACTAGGGGCTCCTCGCCTTACTACTAGGAGCAAGAAGCTACTAGGCTACTAGGCCCTGGCCGCAACGAGCTGAAGTTCTCCACAGATGTCGGAGACGTGACTCACGTGACCGGCGGCGTAGATGACGTGACCGGCCAGAAAAACACTTCAGGGGGAGACTTGCTCAGGTGGCAGCTCCTGTTCCTAGTCTTTCTTCTGGGCCCTTTGTGTGGACTTGTTGGTGCTTCCTGGCTGAATCGCTCACTCGCAGCTTGGCTCAGCTTGGAAGTGCCATTTTGGGCCGAGGGCCCTGGGTGATATTATGGAGTGGATGTGTCGAAAGAATCGACTATGACTAAAAATCATGTCTCACTTCCCACATCCGGGGCAGATTCCTCGAGCTGGAGAGTGGATGTGGAAAAGAGAAAGCTGTTGGAGCTGTCTAAACAGCGTCCGCTTTTGCAACTTGGTTTACTCCTTCCCATCCTTCACCTGTGTACCTGCTGTATATGACTTCGTGAACCTTTGTTTCGCGTAACATCCAAGTCTGGTGGTAAAAGCAGCCTAGGGTTGGGTAACTGTCGAATCTGATTCGAGACCACTGACACAATCATTGGCCGAACAGTCAAGACAGAGTCATGAGTCTTGGTGAAACAGCTGTTGTGTGACGTGGAATCGAGATGGGCATTGGTGAACTCAGGAACCAACCGGCTAGGAGCACGAATGAACAACCCCAATTACTTTTTGGGGCCAAACAGTTGGTTTGACAAAAAAAATATATATAGTATTACGTATATAAAAATACGTTCTCAAACAGTTGGACCTCTGAAGATAGGAGACTCTTCCGTCCAATTGACTGGGGCCGCAGGAGACGGACCATGTTCCCCACCCAAAGAACGGCCCAGTTCCACTGGCCTTTGGAGGTTGCAATCTACTTGGCCTTCTGTGTGGTGAAGACTGTGATACAGATCTATACAGCTGTCTTTAGCTTCTTTCTGCGCCTGGTCGAGGAAAGACGTTTTGCCACTCTTTGTTGACCTGAAAGGGAGATGTGTGCAGATACTAAGGGGATTGTGACTGTTTCTATGTACCAAGGGTCCACTGACACCCTGAATACAATCACAAAGGCAATTGAGACCCTCACATGTTAGGGTCCTCAGCACGGGCCAAACAGCTCCAAAGCTTCCGTTTGAATGTTCGAATGGCACCAATCAACCTGCATTTCAATGGATTCTTCGCCACATGCCACTCGTTCTGGTCAAAGCAGATGTATTCAGACCATGGTCTGGGCGCGTTCGTCCAAACCAGCGGACGAATGGAGCGGTCGTTCCGAGAGCCCAGTCGGGCGAGTCGGGCGAGCGGCTCGAGGACCGTACGGCCACGGGAAAGGAGAGCTGTCTTTGGAGCTGTTTACACCAGACCTTGGTCTTTCCCTTATATTCACCATAAAGACCTCCAAGTTTGAACCACAACATGGAATCCGACCAGCTGATCACCACCTGCTGGTTCCGGTCTGGGCTTCATGTCTGAGGTGGGCGATTCTCTTTGTGTTCCTACAGGTTTGGATCACGAAGATCGTTGCCTGGGCAGCAGAATCCGTGCTCGGCTCGGTCCGTTTTTCACCGAAGGGGCGGGGTAGCGCAATGGCGGACTCCAAGACGGACTCCAATGGCTGAAAGAAACAGATGAACGGACTAAGGTGCATGTTGTACATTGGAGGGTTTTTCTTTACTGTGTTGTACATAGGACGTCTATACGGGTGTGCGTTTTGTGCGCCTACGAAAACTGCGACTTTGGACAAGTTTTAGTACACATCAGACAGAAGACAACTAGCAAAGAAAGAACATCTTTTTACTCATGGACCATATCATACCGTATCCGACCGTATCGATTGATTTGCATGCGTTGGTCGAAGGCTCTCAACTGACCCCGTGGCTTAGCCGGACGGGTTGTACCTGAAATGCCATGGCCAGGTCTGCCTGCAAGACTGAACGCTTATAGAACGCTTCTTAAGCCTCGTGTTTGAACATTAGTATTATTGAGTGTTCACGTAGGTGAGTGACCAAGGTAGAACTTCAAAGATAGCGCCCTGATTGAGAGCTGAACCATCCAAATAGACTTGGGGATTGCCTGACGCTGATTGAAACTTGGAATTACGATTTTTGTCCTCGTTATAGGTTCTGCCCTAAGCTGATCCAACCGCTAACTTGGGAAGGCACTTTTCTTTCTTCCTACCATGCTCGTTTTTGTTTTTTTTCCTCTCTCTTGACCCTTGTCCTCTATGTGTTCCCTCGATTTCGACCACCTGGTGCTGTGCGCGAAGACTCAGCGCTTTGCGATGGATATTACCACTTGCCCTGCAGTCATTTCTCCCACTTCAAGGAGCACTGCACCCTAGTAAGTCATGGAAATAACCGAGCCGATTACATCCACTTCCGGCTTGCTACACAGTCCGAACACCACTGTGTTACCATGTCTCTAGAAAGTGACACCAGATAGTATGTGCTGGACACATCCATCATAGTGAACATGTTCTCTGCTTTTGTTCATATCCCGTTATCTGCTTTTGTTCATATCCCGTTATCTGCTTTTGGTCACATCGGGCTCTTGGGTGGTGACGTCCTGAGACGTGAGGTAGCCACCTTCTGCTATGTGTTGGGCAAGCTCTCCCCTGAGCAGCGTGCCTACGCGCTGGCAGCGAAGGAATATGATGTGCAGAGAGTTTATTGGTGAGCAGCTCGAGGATCAGGGTAGTTAGGCCCCAAAACACTCCTAAGAAGACTCTTTTGGGGGAGCAAGAGATTGCAGCTCATTGAGGAGATTGCTTAGGACTGGCAGCCAGACCAAGGCCTGCCATCTCATTCTGCCTTCACCTACCAAAAGGGCGACGGACATTTCAGACCATGGCGATGTTACAGCGAAATGTATGACCACGTGTGACCATGTCACGTTAGTTCGTTTCCTTGCACTTGGAGGCCCCTGTTTTCAACAGACATAGGGTGACATAGGGCACTGGGCAGCATTTCTTGTTTATCATGTCATGTCCCTCCTCGTCAAACAATTGAGGTGAAGGTGACTTGGTCGTCCTGATGGTATTCCATCTCGTGATTGCGGTCTATGGTGGCTTCGTGGCTAACCAATCCTTTAAAACATTTTACTCACTGACAGGAAAGTGGACATTGTTTTTGGGACACTTGGATTGCCTTGACGGAAAGACCACCTCCATGTGATGAGTTGCTCCAGGGGTTTGGCCACCCGGGGTTTTGTCCCGGTCGCGTCACAGCGGTGTACTTGTAGCTGACTTCGCCTCGTTAGCTGCGCCTCAGAGATTTCCCCAGTATCAGCCTGTCCCGAGCTGCGAGTTGCTCACCGGGCAGTGTAAAGACCGAGCACCGCGGCAAGCTGGTGCAAAACGGCTGGTGCCCAGTGGATTTGCTGATTGAAAGACTGCATGGAAGATGCTAGAGGAGTATATGTATATGTGGTTGTAGCTCAAAACCTGGCCCAGACGATGGTGATTAAGTTGACATCCTTGATAGATGAGTTTGTTCATATTTTGGGGGGTCAACCAAACAGATGTTTTTTGTATCTCCACCGGTCAATGTCCCATTAAATGCCGAACTGCGAATGCCGGGAATATGGGGAAGAATCGCTCTTCTCCACAGAAGGTATCCATGTTGATATTGTGGAAGGGCAGACCATGTTTGAGCAGATGATTCCTCCAAAAGATCCAATCCCAAGTGTATGGGATGGTGCGAACACTGCAGATCAATTCTTGTCTACAGACGTATTTTAAGGAACATCTGCATGTGTTCCACCAAGGTGGGCCTATCCAGGTTCAAGTGGGCACAAAATCCTACACCATACCCGAAGGCCTAAACCGTCATATTTATGATATACCCTCGCTACTGGCCGGTGCAGGATTTTGACCAATGCTATGTGGCGTCATTGGTCATTTCCGTCTGTCCATGCGGCAATCAGCAGATTCATGCAGATCCCCATTGCTGTGCTAAACCTGGTGTGTACAGAGGCTTTCAGTACGGCGGCCATTCCCTGCAGGGGATGCCAGTAGGGCCAAAGTAGGCAGACCCCCCAAGCCAATGAGAATTCTGGAGGACAACAGATCTTCCAGATGTCAAGAAGACAAGCCGGTTTTGGAGATCAAAACATGCAACTGCTGCTGTCATTGTGACCTGGTGTTACACAATAGCAAGCATGAGTCTGAGATGTGTTTGCCGTTTTTCTTGAAGTGGTCCGGTTTTCTTGAGGACAAGTCGTTTTCATTCGTCTGCGTGACGTGCCAAGCCAAGTGTGTACAGGTGCAGGAGTTATACCTAGCCACGAATCCAATAGCAGTTTAGCCTGAAAAAGAAGTGCGTTCCGGGCTGGATGACATATTTTAATTTAAGGTCTTTCGGCCTCCAAAAGAAGACTTATGACATATTTTAATTTAAGGTCTTTCGGCCTCCAAAAGAAGACTTATGCTTATGTAACTTCACCGAACTGAGAGATCCACCCAAGTGGCCTTGCGGTTTCTGGCTTCGAGGGTCTTAAATGATGCATAATGCAACGTTGAAGATTGAAGTTTTCCTTTTCAAGGAGAATCTGCCAACACGAATCTCAGGTGACCCTAACAACAAAAAAACCAAGCTCCTGTAACTATCTGCAGCTGCTGTTGAAGGAATCAGGAAGGTGGAGGATATCCTTCTACAATCTTCTACATTCTCATAGTTTTCACATTTCGGGTGGTGCCAGCCTTTCTTCCATCAACTGTATCACTGTGTCGATTTGCCATGTCTGCCATTCCCTCTTCGTTCGAGCACTTCGTCATGTTCCGCAGGGCATTTATCGCGACTCGAGGTCCGCAGGAGGAAAAAGCCCGCTTGATCCACAGGGTTGGATACCTAGGAGGGTGTTTTGAGATTGGTAGCGGAGCCGGTCGAAAGGGACCGGCTCCAGGTAGGATCCTAGAGTAGTGCCATGTCTGCATCTGCTCCTTTCGACCCCGGAGGTGGATCAAACAAAACCTTTACAGGTGATGACGAAGATGCCAAAGAGTACAAGCGGTGGAAAGTGTGGACAGTCAACAAACTGCTGACGCTCAGTGAGAAGGTGCCATCCACCGCTCGTGGCGCCTATGTGTACACGCTGCTGGGAGGCAAGGCTTTGGAAGCTGTGGAACACTTGGATCCCTCTACCTACCAAAAGGATGGAGGGGAGAAGGTGTTGTTCGAAATATTGGATCGACGATTCCCTCAGAAGGAGGCTTCAGACGAGCTCAGCGAGAGCCTCACGAAGATCTTTGAGCTTAGAGCTGAGGAGGGAGAATCCCTCAAGTCCTGGGTGAGTCGTGCATCCGAAGCCTTCGACAACCTCCAGCGCAAGACCAACGTCGCCTTTCCAGAAGAGGCCCTGGGGTGGTTGATTCTTCATCGCTCCGGCCTCAATGCTGAACAGGTCGCTGTGGTGTTGGCTCGATCGTTGGGCGTGCTCAAACGAGAAGAGATCGGCAAAGCTATGAGAAGCTGCTATCCGAATTTCTCTGCTCCCAAGCGACGATACGCCAGTGCTGCGATGGTGGCCGAGGAGACCATGTTGGCCGAGCCGTCGGATGTTGATTTGGACGGGCTTGAACCGTCCTTTGAAGACGTTGAGCTTTTTCTGGCTGATGATTTGTTGGCCGAGGCCGGAGATCCCGATGAGGTATTTGATGAACAAGATATCAAAGAGACCTTGGCCGTGACTTGGCAGGAGAAGCGCAAGTCTCTCGCTCGCCTGCAGAAAGATCGGAAGTTCTCTGATGCCGGACATCTCAAACGCCAATTTCGAGTGGAGGTTGAAGAGCTCAAACGCCGTACTCGTTGCCACAAATGCGGCCAGGTTGGCCACTGGTCCAGAGAGTGTCGCAATGCTGGAAAAGGGAAGAGCAAGGGTTCGGGGAAATCCAAAGCTGCTTCATCAGATTCGGCTGCCGCCTATGTGGAACATTTTTTTTGCCATGGTTACACCTCAGTTGACATTGCTTCAACAGGTTCGTGCACGCTGTTCATCTCTCCGGTCGGTCGATCAAGTTGAGCAAGCTGAGTTTCCTTCATGCTCTCCAGAGTCACCCCAAGAGCTTCTGCTGGTGTCCAGTCCAGGATATGGTATCCTGGACTCTGGCTGTGGACGTTCAATTCAATCATCGGCGAGGAGACCTTGAAGGAATTCCGTGAAATGTGGAAAGTTCATGAGTTCGAAGACCCTGAGCCCATCCGTGAGGTGAACCACTTCCGCTTTGGGAATGGAGCCCGAGAGACCTCGCACTCCGTCATTCCTATGCCGGTGGTCTTGGGAGGTCGCCGTGGAGTGATCAAAGCTGCCTTGGTCAAGGGCCGTGCGCCATTGTTGATCTCCAGAAAGGCCATGAAGACCTTACAGGCCAAGATCGACTTTGACAAGGCTGAACTCACTCTGTTTGCGGACGAAGTCAAAGTGCCTCTCCAGACCAACTCTGCTGGACAGTTCATTGTTCATCTGTTGGGAACGACCACTCCTTCAGAAGCATCCTTTGAGGAAGTCATGGAGTTGCATGAACTCCACCCTCCAGACAACCTTCCGTCTGATGAGCTGGAAGTTGATGATCCTCTCGTCCTGGAACCTTGTGAGCCAGGCGAGATCAGTGTGTGGTCGAGGATTGACGACAACATTAAGTTTGCACCTCTTACAGGGAAACAAGGTCCAAGGTGGAACCAGGTCATTCGTCGTCGAGTTAGTGACTGTGTGTCTGGCGAGGTCATTTTAGATCAAGAAATAGTTCAGCACAAGGGTAAACACCAGTATCATACGTTGATCCCGACTCGACATATCAGGGTGAAAACCAAGCTTTTCTTTCGACCGCAGGAAAAGCTGTGCCCCACTGAGTGTTTGCCTGTGCATCACCTGAGACAACTCGGGTCTCAGCTTCGGCAAGCCAACCGGTGTCCAGCATCCATGATAGGTGGTAAGAGGTTTGTCGTTGCAGAGGTATTCAGTCCCCCAAGGTTTGCACCAGTGGCCCAAGAATTTGGTTTCCATGCCAAGTCGTATGATCTGTTGAATGGTTACGACTTCTCTCGAAAGGAACACCGGGAAGCCGTTCGCCTAGAGCTGGATTCCACTCCGCCAGATTTACTGGTCCTGTGCCCGCCGTGTACCCATGAGGGTGGTTGGTGGCATTTCAATGCCTCCAAGCTTCCGCCGCATCTCGTGTTGAAGCTGAAGATGCGCAGTAGAATGTTCATACGTTTTTGTTTGGAATTGTTCGAACAACAAGTGGCAAAGGGTAGATATGCTATGTTTGAACATCCACTGGGATCCCAAGTATGGACCTTGCCTGACATGAAGCGGTGTTTGGATAGGTTCTTCTCTACCAAGCTTCACATGTGTCGGTATGGTATGCGACTGCCCAGACATGAACAGTTCATTAGGAAGCCAACCCGCCTTCTGTTGAGTCACAAGACCATGGAGTCACTCGGTCGCGTATGCCCCGGGAAACAAGATCCCCAACATTGTTGTCATGATGTGATCGCTGGCTCAGAAAGTGGTCTGGGGTCCATCAGCAAGTATGCGGGTCAATACCCTCCAGAGTTTGTAGAAAGCGTCCTTCGTACCATTCCTGCCTTCTCACGAGTGTGGGAAGCGTCCTTGGTGCAGTGTGAGGATGAATCTCTCACTCAGGCCGTCGATGAATGTTTGGCCGCTCGTAGGGAAGA